AACAAAGATTTTTTCTTCCTTTCATTTTTAAACTTCCTGCGTTCAGGGTAAGAAAAATTTATGGAGAGTTTAAAACTCCTTCGCACATGCATAGTGGGTCCAATCCTCACAACTCATTGGAAGTTAAAAATAAGAGTTTACATTTAACTTGGTACCTAATTTAAACCAGAGTTGTTCTGTTTCACTGGAGGAACTGATCTACTGGTTGTTGTGGGTTTTTCGGGCTCTTTGGCCGTGTTCTGAAGGTTGTTCTTCCTGATGTTTCGCCAGTCTCCGTGGCCATGGGCATCTTCAGAGGACAGCAAGCCTTCGCGAATATATTGAACTGATCTACCTTTGTTTTTTTATTTCATCAATTTTGTTAAATATACATCTGAAATCTGTATGCTTATCATAGGGAAATGTAATAAGCATGTGTTCTTTTTATGTTTTAATTTGTGCTACCTGTGGTTTTACTCTCTCTGGTAAAACAGTGCATTGTATTAATCTTGCCAGACATAAAGCAGAGAGCAAGAGGTAACCATGGTGGACAGAAGACCCCTTCCTGCCGTTTAGGGTGGCATCCAAAGGCAGTCTTGCTCCATGCAGAGGAGAAGACTCCCATAGCTGACATCACAGTGGGATGTGAGGGGGATTTCTAACTGTACTTGACCCTGGAGTACCAGGGCTTTGTCGAGAGAAAGGAACAAATGGGGACCACAGATCTGGAAAGACCCAAAACAAGTTCCCTAGTGAGGCAAAATAATTGTAATGGAGGGGAGTAGGAGGGGTTGATTTGAAATTCTAGCAATGTTGTATGGATTTTTTTAACTAGTTCAAATCAATGGGAAATTGGAGCCCTCCCCAAACAGGAACAAACAGATCATGTGAATAGGTTCTTAGTGTCAACTTGGGCGATTCCACCTCGGGTGACCCTGCTCGGAGTCCAGACTTCTAATGGAGCCTGGCCTCCTGACGGCATTGCTCTTGGGTTCCCTCACACACTCAAGCCCCCCTCACCACCTTGAGGTTTGCACCCCGAGAGAGAGATCATGCAACACGACAAATGAAAATGAAGTTACCTTAATGAGTAACAATTACTTTTAAACTATTACCTTTAAAGGATACTGATAGCCATTTTGGCAGGATTGCCATGTGCAACAAACCCAAAGACTTTTTAAAAAGAAAAATCCATGTCCCTCCAGTGATTAAACTTAACTTAATTTGTCCTAGAACCTAGCCAGAAGGCGGAATGAATATAAGCGCTTCTCGTCAGCCTTCCTGCCTTTAGCAAGGCTCTCACAGTGCTGGACCATTTACATACCTTCGGTAAATAGAGGTACACAACAAAAGCAGTGGGAATGCAGGTCACGTTGACAGCACAGCTTGAGGAGTGAGGCATTGACGCTGCCAGAAATCTGATTAAAGGGTAAATAAGAAACCTTAAAATATCACCGAGGGGGAAGAAAATCAAGTTATGCTGCTTTCTCAGGAACACAGGCAGACACTGCAAAATGAAAAGCAAACAAAGCTGAAACTCCAGGAAACCTGGAATGCTTTTCTAATACCCAAAGTCCATGACCTGTGCTTTGTAGTAGTTGGGGCATTGCAAGCTGTGATGAAAAGCCATGTCTGTAGAAGCAATGCTGCAGTAAAGGAGCAGCACAGCAGGAGAACTAGAAGTGTTTTTGGTGCTATTTTCATGTAGTTTCCCTTTTCCATTCCCAGTGCACATCCACATAAATTGCACTGGTACGTTTCTTCTGGTGTGCAATACACATGTGTGGGTATGTCAGGGAGATAAATCTCAGGATGAGTGGTACTAATTACATGCCATCCTTCAATTCTGACTTATAGTGACCCTTTCCAAGCTTTCCTAGGTATACAGTACACAGAAATGGTTTACCAATCCTTTCTTCTTCTTCTTCTTCTTCTTCTTCTTCTTCTTCTTCTTCTTCTTCTTCTTCTTCTTCTTCTTCTTCTTCTTCTTCTTTATTTATTTATTTATTTATTGGACTTACTGTATATACCGCCCCATAGCGCTACAAGCACTCTCCGGGCAGTTTACAATTTAATTATACAGGCTACACATTGCCCCCCCAGCAAGCTGGGTCCTCATTTTACCGACCTCGGAAGGATGGAAGGCTGAGTCAACCTTGAGCCGGCTACCTGGGATTTGAACCCCAGGTCATGAGCACAGTTTTAGCTGCAGTACAGCGTTTCAACCACTGCGCCACGAGGCTCTTTTTCTTCTTCTTCTTCTTCTTCTCTCTCTCTCTCTCTCTCTGTGTGCATGTGTGTGCGTGTGCGCACATGTACGTGCATGTTCTGGGACTGTGCACCTTGCTCAAGGCCACATGGTCTGCCTCTTCTGGGATGCGCAATGAGCTACCAATCTGCAGCTCCACAACCAGATATCTAACTCGGCGGACTATCTAGCCAGTGGAAGATTTTAAAGAAGAATCTTGTATATTCTCAGCTGGTGCCAGGGATCGCTGGTCCAGCATGAAGACACCTGTACTGTATGTGTTTTGCACTTGGGGCGTCATGACACCAAAAAGCCAAAATCATGGAAATAAACCTAATGAGAAGTGCCATAATGCTAAAGTCTTGTTTCCCCTTGAGCAAACCAAACCAAAATAACCTGTGTCTTCAAAAGGGAACAAAAGGCATGCAAACACTTGGATTTTATCACTGAACATACCAAGATGAGCCTTACATCGTATGGATGGTAGTAAAAACACCAATGTCATCAGTGACAAATCAGACACATTATGGAGAAGAGTGGTTCCATCTGGAAGAGCTCACAGTTACATTCCACAAGTTAACACAGTAAGAACAAAGTTGCATCATTGGTGTAATCAGTAATGTTTCCTAGTTAATTTTGAAAGTTACTATTTCAAGGCATTGGAGTCATTTTAACAAGAAGTTTTAAAAGTGATGATATTCTCTTATGAATTATAGAATGTAGCATTTTAAAAAGTAATGAAATCATTTCAAAAAGCAGGATCAATGCAACAATTTACACTTGCAACAGAGTAACAAGTTGCAACAATAGCTTATTTTTCAAACACTATGACAAGTAATTGGAACAAATTACATTAAGAATAACTTTCTAAGCTCTGAGTGTGATTATAGAAATATACACAGCATTCCAAGTGTGGCCACACCAGTCATTTGTATGAAGGCTTTAAGATATTTGCATCTGTTTTAGATGCCTTCCTAATGAGCTTTATCCTGGAATTTGCCTTTTTAAATTGCAGCTGCATACTGGTTTGATATTTTAATCAACTATTCTCCCAGAACCCAAGAATTTCCTTGACTGCAACTAAGACCTCATCAATGTACAGGAGGAACCCCCTCTCCCCCAATCCACAAGATCAAGATTCACTGATTCACTTATCTGCTGGCTGAAAATACTAAATAACACCCCCCATACCTGTTTATATGTATTTACCAGAACTGGCCAATAAAGGGGGGAAGAGGCCATGCATTGTATTGTTGTTTAGTTGTTAAGTAGTGCTAGACTCTTTGTGGGCTCCATGTCTTCCACTGCCTCCCGGAGTTGGGTCAAATTCCTGTTGGTAGCTTCAATGACACTGTCCATCCATCTCTGTCGTCCCCTTCTCCTCTTGCCTTCACTCTTTCCCAACATCAGGGACTTTTCCATCTCTTCTCACGAGATGGCCAAAGTATTGGAGCCTTGGTTTCAGGATCTGTCCTTCCAGTGAGCACTCAGGGTTGATTTCATGCAATATACAGTATAGCATTTGATATTTTCAACCCCTGTTGTGGTGGGGCGGATTCCCTGCAGATGCTGCAGCCCTGCTGTATATGTGGACCTAGTATGTGTGTGTCACAATATAAATCCTCTTTATATTTACTTCTGCCAAATCCCATTAACACTTGGAAAGATTGTTTGGGATCTCCTTGCTACCTTTTTTTTTCATTTTTAAACACCCTAGGTTAAAGAAAAGTTAAGAAAAGTTAGTTCTCTGGGTTGCAACTCCCAAAGTCTCAAAAGCAACATGGATTTGTGGTGCTAAAAGCAAAATCTGTTATCTGTGCCCTAAATTATATGGGTGTCTTCAGCAAACATGGTCATTTGCTGCTCATCCTCAATTCCAGCTACTTTGTGAGATCCACTAACCGAGAAAACGATACTGTACTTCTGAAGTAAGAAGTATCCAGTTTGCCTTTTTAAAGATGATGTCTTTCTGTCAGAGCAGGCATCATTTTGGAAGAGACATTCCCTCCTGTTGGACAGGAAAGGAGGAATGTTTTTTCTGAGACAGTGCTTGCCACTTGCTATTTTTATAAGAACTTGTACTAAAAAGAATATATTTGTAACATCAGTGAGGCACTGGAGATTTTCGGATTGTAGGCTGCTGTCACCTGAAGTCAGACTTCTGAGGAGAATCCACAAAGGTGGGCAGATGTATTAGAAAGCAAAATGAAGCAAAGAATTCTTCTTTCTTGGTGCATGTGGCACACGTATGCACCAGCTTTCCACAGTCTCAGGGAGAAACGTTTCTCCTCAGAGTGAAGAAAACAGCGGTAGCCATTTCTACCTCTACCATAAACAGCCAAGTGAATCTAGTGGGTCAATGAAAGGCCAAAGTACTCCAAACCATTTGCATTACATCAGGGATAGCTTACACCAATACATTGTTGCTGGGAAAAAAAATCATTTTCCTCCCAGCGACAATGAGGTTTTTGACCAAAGTGAGATGAAACAGGGAAACCTGAGGGGGGTGGCAGGTGATACCATCTTCCTTGCTCATCATAAAGTCACGGTGGTTCAGAAGTGTAAACTGTGGCTGCTACACCATTGCTTAGAATGTCTACTCACATTCAGTATCCTTTTTTTTATTTTAAAAAAATGGGGGGCCCTGTTATTTTAAATTCATCGGATTCAACCCAGTCTGAGAGAATGGATTCTGATCCATGAAAGCTCACATGGAAATCTGTTAGTCTTTGAAGTGCCACAATATTTTGGGGTTCGCTCCTTTTCCCTTTTAATTTTGCCAGTCTGCCTTGTGCCCTGGTTTCGTGGCTGGAAGAAGTCTGAGATCTCAAAGCATGACACTGACCGCAACACAGTTGTTGGCAGGGATGATCTTCTGCTTGAAGGTGAACATCCCTTTGAGCCCCGTTCGGAAGCGGTCGTGCAGCCAGGCATACAGGAAGGGGTTACAGCAAGAGGAGCTCATGGCAAACCAGTGGCAGAGCAGCTGGATCAGAAGGAAGTACTCCTTGTTGATGAGGTTGATGTCTATGTCGCGGATGATGTTGAAGACATGGATGGGGAGCCAGCAGACGGCGAAGGCAGCCACCACGAGCACAAGGAGGCAGAAGATCTTCCTTTTCCGCAGACGGTCAAACTCTGTCTGGCTTTGTGTTGGGTGACCAGGCACAACACGGTTCTTCAGCTTAATGGTGATACAGATGTAGGAGAGAGAGACGGCCGAGAGGGGAAGGATGTACGTAATGATCAAGGTGCTGTAGGCGTAGGCCAGGCGCTCTTTCTCTTCATCCATCCAGAACTCCTCACAGATGGCAAAGCCTTCCTTGTGGAACTCCACGTGGTAGGTGTGGGCAATGGCCGGAGCCACCAGGGCACAAGAGAGCAGCCAGATCCCACAAATTACATATACACAGGCGGTGAAGGAGATGCGCTTCTTAAGGAGATGCACAGTGGTATAGTATCTGGGAAGAAAGGGAGAGAAATCTGGATGACATCCCCAGGTCCAGACCAAAATATCTTGCTGCTAGAGGGATAGCAACAAATGCCATTTCAAGGCACTATGTATGTATGTATGTATGTATGTATGTATGTATGTATGTATGTATGTATGTATGTATGCATGTATGCATGTATGCATGTATGAGTGTGTGTGTGTGTGTGTGTGTGTGTGTGTGTGTAACCACACCCTTCTCTTTAAAGAGACTCAAGGTGGCTTGCATCATTAAAAGACAGTATTTAAAACTAACAGCAAGTATACAAATAAAAGGTAAAGGTAAAGGTTCCCCATTGACAATTTTTGTCCAGTCGTGTCCGACTCTAGGGGGCAGCGCTCATCCCGTTCTTCAAGCCATAGAGCCAGCGTTTTGTCCGAAGACAATCTTCCATGGTCACATGGCCAGTGCGACTTAGACACAGAACGCTGTTACCTTCCCACCGAGGTGGTCCCTGTTTATCTACTCGCATTTGCATGCTTTCGAACCGCTAGGTTGGCGGGAGCTGGGACAAGCAACGGGCGCTCACTCCGTCGCGTGGATTCGATCTTACGACTGCTTGGTCTTCTGACCCTGCAGCACAGGCTTCTGCGGTTTAGCCCACAGCGCCACCACGTCCCTTTACTGTACTAAAAAAGGTATACAAATGGATACTATACGAAAAAACATAAGAAACACCCAAACACATTCGAAACAGCAAGGTACAGCAATCCATTAAAAAAAACCCTACTAAGGTAGTCAGGCACTCAGGGAAAGCCTGCCTGAAGAGAAAGATCTTGTCCTGCTAGCAGAAGGACAGCCAAGAGGGGGCCAGTCTGGCTTCCAGTGGGAGGGAGTTCCAGAGTCTGGGAGCAGCCACAGAGAAGGCCCTCTCTCATGTCCCCACCAAGTGCTCCTGAGAGGCTGGTGGGACTGAGAGAATGGCCTCCCCGGATGATCTTAATGTCCAGGCAGGGTCATAGAGGGAGACACGATCCTTGTAATGGCTTGAACCCAAGCTGTTTAGGGCTTTACAGGTTAAAGCCAGCACTTTGGATTGTGTCCTGAAATGGATCAGCAGCCAGGGGAGCGGCGGTAATGCAGAGTGAGTGGGTGGGCGGGCGATGTGATCCTCTGACCAGCCCCAGTGAGCAATCCACCTGCTGTATTTTGAGCTCACTGAAGTTTCCGGACACTTTCCATTTGTTTTGAAAAAGACCATGGTGTTTCTGAGCACGTCTCAGTGGCATGTACTAAAGTCATGAAAATAAACCCCCTCGTCTAGAATTGTTAGGCTGGATCATTGTATTTCCTGAAGTTTCAAAACCAAACTCCAGGAGCTAGAAAATGTCCCCCAAAACCTGAGTCTCACATCAAACCCAAAATCTGGAAACCCTACAAATGGCAGAGTCCTATATGAATCTATTTGGAAGAATGTTCCCTTCAGTTCGGTGAGGACGATTCCCAGATATAAAACCACAATCTTTAGTTAGGCTCGAAATTTCACATGCAACTTTTTAGATTTTTTTGATCTCTTTTGTGCAGCCGAATTGTATTCTCACTGTTCTGCCAGGTGCCACAATATCTTTGTCTTTTCTTTCTTGTTTTGCTTTTTCTTTGTTTCTTGTTAATATGCTTGCACAGATTAGCATGGTATCACTTCAAAAACTACCTTTATTTGGTATGGCTTGATTTGATATCCAGCACATCTCACTAAGGATTTCCAGTTTCAATGAGTTTTCATAAAGACAGTTAGAGGATTAGCATGTGAGAAGGTCAACAGCATCTAGGTAGTGAATGGCCATGGGGGGTTGAGGGGGTGGAGAAGTCTGAATACCAAGGCAGCCCAAACCTCCACAGTCCTTGACTTGTACTGAACCAAACATGTTCCATCTCCTACCTGAATTTCATTGATATTCTGTTTCCATTGCTTTTAGTTACAGAAGAAAGCCTTGTCATAAGAGAAGCACAGCTGGAGAGAGAAATTCGATCTTCTGAAACTGCTCCAGTGCTCCAGAACAACAATTTTCAACTCAGAAACATTAAATAACTTGTGGCAAACATATTTATTTTGGGTGAACAAAACAACGGAGGATTACTTTCACCTCATCTAACAACTCATATCACACTACAGGTCCCCATGGCATCTCTAGAAATTTATCATTGAACCAAAGCATTCCTGTAGATCTGATTTTGGTTTCTTTATTTTTCTTCCTTTTCCAAAAATCATTTCCCTTAAAGTGAACTAAAACTGAGTTTTTATGAGAAGAACTCAACATCTTCCACCTCATGTCTTCTCTGTCTCTGCATTAATTCCTCCCCACCCCACCACAGGATGGCCGCACACACATCCCTAGTGAAAAAAAAAAGGAAGTATGTTGCTAAGACCAAGAGAACACATTGTCAAGAAAGAGGGGACATATCGGAAAAAGAAAATAGGACACACATCACAAAAGAAGCACAAATGGATAATCGAAAAAGAACTGTACCGCCAAAGAAGAGGGAATGCATTATCAAAGAAGAGCACCTTCTATATACAAAGTATGCATTCTAGCATTGTTTGTGGCCCTCCCCAAACCTTATTTAATGCTGCATGAGAGTGCAGAACAGATATTGTGCAACAGAGCCAATCAAGATTCTGTAAGGCAACTAAAAAATGGGGATACTCAAAACAAAAATTTATAACTTTGAAACTGGACCTTGGATTACCATGAAACACAGCAGTCTGTACAAATTAGTTGCAGATGAACCTGTCTGTTTCTTAACGTTTGTACTCTATGTTCTTTTGTCTTCATTTAGAAACAGGGCTTTATCACATAGCAACGGAGCTGAACTGGTGCTTCCTCCTCCTCCATTTCCTGCTGTGATCCAAGCATAAAAAGAGATTGGTGGCTGACTGTCATTTCCTTTGTATGTAATCTCATTTCTGCACCTTGCTTTTCAACTTTCCTCAACCCAAGACCCTCAAACTCTCATCATATTTTTTTTAACATGGATCCAACTAAATAGGAAAATATGCTCATTTATATGTCTGTTCTTCTCACTGATGGTGGTAAGCCAACAACAGAGGACCATGAAACAATGCTGGTTGGGTCTCTTTTCAGTTTCTCACAATCTCCTTCAAGGCAAAAGAGCTTTGTTTGCTGGTTCCTTCCAACTCTGGGTATCTTTTCCCACTTTTAGCTAATATATTGTGATATTTTGCTTGCTATTAAGAAACAAATTGGAAATGTGGCTAAATTCAGCTGTCTCTTTGAAAAGCAGGTTGTAGAAGAAGCAGTTGATTGGGGGGGATGAGTAGATTCCCATCCCCCACATTAGTATAAAACAAGCAGAGAATGGTAATTATTTAAGAGTGGGCTAGATCTGACAATATATTTTCTTCTGATCTGTGATGGAGAATAGGCATGTGCTTTCTCTTCTGGGGACGTGGTGGCGAAGGGACGTGGTGGCGCTGTGGGCTAAACTGCAGAAGCCTGTGCTGCAGGGTCAGAAGACCAAGCAGTCGTAAGATCGAATCCACGCGACGGAGTGAGCGCCCGTTGCTTGTCCCAGCTCCCACCAACCTAGCGGTTCGAAAGCATGCAAATGTGAGTAGATAAATAGGGACCACCTCGGGGGGAAGGTAAACAGCATTCCGTGTCTAAGTCGCACTGGCCATGTGACCACGGAAAGATTGTCTTCGGACAAACACTGGCTCTATGGCTTGGAAACGGGGATGAGCACTGCCCCCTAGAGTCGAACACGACTGGACAAAAATTGTCAAGGGGAACCTTTACCTTCTCTTCTAGTTTACTTCCCATATGTCCTGCAACACTGGGCATCTACGTACATTTATACAAATCAAAGTATTACACACAAATATTAAACCAATATGCATACCCCAGGCTGCATGGTAAATTCATTACCATGCAATCCTGGGGAGGATTTAATCTGAGCCTGAATGATTTCTTTTGCTTTTTCTTGTTGGGAGAGGGTTTTATAAGTAGAAGAATTGCCCGTGTTGCTCTTGGTGGAGAACGTTCAGTGGACTGGGCGCAGGCTTAGATATACATAGAACTGATTCATTGAAACCAATGGGGCTTAAATCATTCATGGAGTCATCATGATTTGCCTCTTGTCAAAAGACAAACCTTGGAGAGATGTTGCTCCCGGTCAGAGTTGACAGTCCAAGTAAAAAGGAATCTACATTGTTCATTTGCAGTGCTGTATGCAGAGATGCAAATGACAGTGACTGAAAAACTACATGACAGCCATGTGGTTTTGAATTGCTGTCTGTGTTCTCACGGGCAGGGACGACCATCAGCTGATCAGCACTGCCTGGGAAGCTATAGAAGTAGAACAGCCAAACCTCCCGGCTGGGAGAAGGCCCCTCCCTCTGCAATCCCAGTTGGGGGATTCGACTCTGCAGCTTTTCAGAGCTGTCAGGCACAGCACTGGTCAGCTGATGGCTGGCCCTCAGGCTGCTCGGAAGGAGCTGCGCAGGGAATCCCCCAGGTGGGAGGAGGCCTCCAACAGCTCTGCCATTGCCTGCACTGCCCAAGAAAACAAAGTTAGTCATGTGTTGGGGCAGGGGCAGGGGCTGGGCCAGGGAGAATGGAAGAGAAAGAGAATGAGAGGGAAAGGGGTGACAAGGGAAAGAGGGGACACACTGGGAGGGTGGGAGGATGCAGTGACAGGTGACAGAGGGGTGGATGGGTGGGCGACCCTTGGGAGGGCGCTTTCAGTTTGTTTTTTAAAATTCCTGCTATCTGGTATAGCGCTGTATCAGATAACAGGATTTTTTTTTAAAAAAATGGCTGAACAAGAGGAAAGGAGTATTGAAAGGGAAAGGCAAGACCCAAACTAGAGATGGGCACGAAGCAAAACACAAATCCAAAAATGTGCCAGAAGTTGCTAATTCATCACTAATTCATCAATTCCTGTTCATCAAACATGACAGTCCTGATGAATATGAATCGATGAATTTTTAACAACTTTTGAATTGTCTACCTACCTTTTGTTGCTGCTGCCTCCTCATCCGCTGCTGCTGCCATTTGTAAAGGAAGCCCAGCTGGCTGCCACAGTCTGGCTGCCTCTGCACATGCGGCCGTCTCTCAGCTGAGAGTCAGGTCCACGTTGCGGAGGCGGCCGGCTGTGTGTGTGTATGTACATATACATGTATATGTGTATATATATATATATATACACACACACACATACAAGAAGCAAGAGAGGCCTTGAGAAAGACATTCCTGGGGTCTGACATGTAGGAGAGAGCCAAGTCCTTAGCCTAGAATATGGAAATCTTCCTTTTTAGAATATTAATTCCCAGTCAACTCTCAACAAGTTCAGGAGCTGTAGCCTTGTAAGGACATTTTCCAAGTGCTGGCTTGGGCCTGAAGAGTGGATAAGGAGGCATGGAAAGTTCTCCTCTGAGTGCAATGGCTATACCTCACTTCTCTGAGGTGATCTTAGGCCTCAAAGCTTCAAGCCATAACTGCCATTTGGATTAGAGATGGACACAAACTGGAAAAATGGTGGTTCATCTTGGTTCGTCGTTTGTCAAAATCAATGAACCACCAACCACCAATTTATGATTTTTCTCCTGAGGAACCACCTTCTCTGTGAGAAGCTGGTACCATGCAAGGGATGGAGCTTCTGAAGGAACTCAGTTGCCCAGCCTATTTAACCTCTTAGTTGCTGTCAATCTCTGGCTAATACAGTACAGTAGCTCCCTTCAGTGAGAAAGGACTTCAGCCAGCTCAGTCTAGACTGCTGTCCAAGGTTCTGATGTGTCCTCCGTTCTTTTGCTGAACACTTACTTTGCCTTTTTATTTGTCATCTCACTGAAGCAAACTTGATTTGGTTTAGTGGACACAATTCTAGCCTTGCCAACACACACACACCCCATCATTCATGGCCAGCCTCTTAATTAGACACACACACACACACACACACACACACACACACACACACTTTTATATATGAGTGAGGTTTGGTTTGAAAAAGACCATATGTCTCCCTCACATCTTGCTTTGCTGGAAAAAAACGCTGTTCATAGGAAACCGTCTTCTGAGTGAGCCTGGGTAGCACAGTATGGTCCTCCAGATGTAATTTCCACCAGTCCACAGACTATGCGGTGGGGAGGAATTCTGGGAGTCCTAAAACAACTACTTATGGAGAGCCACATGTTGCCCACACTGGATCCACAGGGTTTGCTATGTCATTGAGGGTTTCGGTGCTTCTTTAAAAGCCCTGCATAGGTCACACTTGTTTCTCATGGGATAAGCAGGTTAAGATGTGATACAGGTCACAAGCTGACCATCTCTTCTCCTGTGCTTCAGGTCCTGAGAGACCAGTATAAGAGGCATAGCCTTAAAATTCAAAGACAGGTGCTGAGCATGAAACAATTATGATATGAGGAATGTGTTTAGAGCGACTGAAATGAATGCAGCTCACATGTTTCTCATACAGATACTTCCCACCTTAATTTTCCTAAGCTTTCATCACTTCAGCAGGATCATTTAGGGGGTTGGGATTAATTTTTTTTCTGATTTTGCTCAACACCTGGAAACTAAAAATCCTTGCTGTTTTTACCCAGAGATCTCCAGATAGATCCAGATCTACTTTCTGCCCACCCTTGTCTATTCTGAATAGCAACAGCTCTCCAGCCTCTCAGCCAGTTATCTTTCTCATCATTTGATTTGAAATGGCATTGCCAAGGATTCAACCAGGAATTTCCTTCATGCAGAGCAGACATTCTATCATTGAATATTCCATGTGCATTGTTTGAGCCCAAATCAATCTCTTAGGGAGCAATTACCTGTCTACTGCAATGGCTGTGAGGGTGAAGACAGACACGTATACTGTCATGGGTTGCATCAGGAACACAAAATAGCACAGGAACTTTCCAAAGACCCACCCCTGGGGGTTAAACGCATATGCCAGCGTAAAGGGGACGCAGGTTGCACACATCAGCATATCTGAGAAGGCCAGGTTCCCAATGAAGAAGTTGGTAACATTGTGCATTTTCTTGGTCTTGCAGATAACATAAAGGAGGAGATAGTTGCCAAAGATGCCAACAAGGACCACCACAGTATAGCAAGGGATGATCAGAGGTTTGAAAGACTGGATCAGCTGCACACTAGTAAACTGGGAGGTGGAATTGGAACTATTCTTGAGCACCACTTCGTAGACACTGCCATTGGATGGGTGGTTCTCCCAATGGCTAGTGGATTCCATGAGTCAATGACAACCGGGATTGGAGTGCCACAAAACTTGGATGACTTGCAAGGAGGTGAGTTCTTTAAAATTCATTTTGTGACCTTGCTTCTGATTTCACAGTTTTGGACAGTGGTTTCTCTTCATGTTGGAGTCATATACAACCTGTTCTTTTCATTTGATCGGAGACAGGATGCCATTTTCTCTGTAGGGCAGAAAAAGAGACTAGTTTTAGCTAAGCTTATTGTTTTGCAGTTCACGTCTTCTACTTCAGTGCACATGTCAGTTCATGGGCCAGGCTTTGAAGAAACTGTTCCTACTTCACACTTCCTGAGACTCACATAAAATGCTTTTAAGGGTCATTGGTCTGCCTTTTTTATACTCATTAAGCTGCAGTTCCTCTCCCCCTGCCTTTGATGTCTTTTCTATTTTCTTTTCAGATGCCTCTTATGGCTTCTCTATAATTTTGCTCTTCCATGTCATAATCATGACGTTTCTTTTCCTTTTAAAAGGAATTATCTGCTCCGTTGGTGCCTGAGAAAAGGAAGAGAGAGAGAGAGGCTTAGAATGACATAAAATTGGTAAACAGTTTTTCCCTAAAGGAAGGGAAATTCAAAAATCTGTTACAGGGAGGACAAGACCAGTTGATCTTGCCCAGAGAGATTCAAGCTTCTGCTGTGGAATGATGTTGGTGGCAAGTATCTTCATGTGAAAGTAGCGCTCTGGGAACATTCACAGCAAATGTGGCGTCAACAAGAACAGATTCATTATAAAATTATCTTTCCAAGTGCAGTGAATGACTCAAATATGTGAAGCTGCCTCTCACTGAGTCAGACCACTGATTCAACTTTCTCTAAGGTTGGGGAATTTTTAGTTCTCCAAGTGTTTTGGCCAACAACTTCCATCATCCCCTATGGCCAAGAATAACAGACTCTGGGAGTTGTAGGTACAAACATCTGGAGGGTCCCCCCTCCCAATCTTGCCCAAGAGAATTTGCTGCCTGAGGTAAGCTCAAGATGACACCCAACAACCTCTACATACGATGTCCAAGGGCTAACTAGACTGACAGTTGACTGTTGTTTCAATGCTGTGTAGAGGGCAACAAGTTAAGTGAGGGGTGCAGGGTAGACTATATGGCTCATGTGTCTGTCCTCCAGCATGGCCGAGACAGTTCCCTACTCTCAAAGACTGTGAGTAATGAGAGACAGGGCAGGTAACACATTGCTTGGGAGAGAACAAATGCATAAAGGCATCACATTTTGGAAGTAGCATACCAAATAGAACCAAAGCTACCTCTATGCTGTAATAAGCAATATTTTCAGGTACCTTTCTAAAGGTTACTTTTACAATGCGATGTTAGTCATTTTAGAAGCATTTTGATAGGATTTTAAGAAATATTTTATGACATTATTAATCATAAGATTTTCCCACTAAGCAACCAAGGGAAGGAAGGAAAGGAGTAACATTGTGAGGAATAAATAGCTGTGGTTGGGAATTCTGGGAGTTAAAAAGAAAACAGGTTTCCTGATCCTGGCCAGCAAGCAAGCAAACATGTAGCTTTCTTTTCTGCCTTAACATCTGTAAATACTGTAGTTCAAAACTAGGCAGCAAAGCTTGACTCAGGGACAGCTGTGGGCAACATAACTGCCCAGTGCTTGCATGCAGTGACCCTGGCTTCTTACCTCTACAAGTGGGAGGCCCAGAAGCCCCCTCCCACCTGGCAAGCAGGGCATGGAGCCAGTGAGCCCTGACCCTAACGTATGCAAGGTGTTTGGTGAGGAGTGTGCGTGGGGCACAAAGAGGAAGGGAAGCATCGCCTCCTTCCACCCACTCTACCCTGGAGATCACTGTCCTCAATCTTGCGAGAACGGGAGGGGGCTGCCCCATAACATTACTGGTGTCACAATTTTCTCCTTTTTGGTGTGGGATCCAGAATATTTTGGCCAGAGTCCTTATTACTATCTGGTTGGAGATCACTGTCCTCAATCTTGCGAGAAGGGGAGGGGGCTGGTGTCACAATGTTCTCCTTTTTGGTGTGGGATCCGGAATATTTCGGCCAGAGTCCTTATGACTATCTGGCAGAGCAGAGGATGCTCCTGGTGCCAAGCTATCCTCCTTCTTTCTTTGAACGTACAAACTTTCTAATTTGCTCCAGGGAAAGGTGTGTGTGTGCCACAGTGGCACAATGTGTGTGTGTGTGTGTGTGTGTGGCGCTTTGTGTGCTGTCTAGGGGACAGCTGAGGCTCTGTAGAGCTCTTCCCTTTGCGTTTTGTTTTCCTGACCAGTCATGTCTCAAGGTGGTGGGCTCTAAATGGTCCCAACCTTGGGCAAGGCCCGGTTGCTCTACCTTAGGACTTAGGCAAGGCCCGGTTGCTCTACCTTAGGACTCAATCACACCTGCCCTAAGAACCCTAGTTATACTGATTTGGCCATTTTTTTTACATCATCCCATAATTTGCCCCAGCAATCAGTTTATTTCCTCCTCACCAGGAGGGTTGTTTGAAATTGTACCAATTGAACCAGCTGGGGGTTCTTTTCTCACATGCGATCGGGCCCAGGGTTATAGTTCTGTGTATCTCATGCCACCAGCTTGTCCTGAACACACCGCACTTGTTGGGTTTCAGAAGCTAAGCAGACTCAGGCCTGGTTTGTGCATTAATGAGGGTCCTCTAGGGCAGCCATTCTCAACCTTTTCTTTGGTCATGGCCAAAGTTCCCTCTAAGCTGGGTGCACGCACTCGGGCACCTCTGCCTCCCTCCAGGCAGCTGTCTTCCTCCTCCGTGCAAGTGACTGCATTAGGTTCCGGTTGCGATGGAACCCTGCACGCGAGGGGGTGGAGCCACATGCATGTGTGCAGCAGCAAAGTCGTGAGCCAGAGAGGCACAGCCCCACCTAGTGGAGCAAAAAGTTGGCGGGTACATTGGTCATGGCCATAGATACACTATGAAAGAAATACTGTATAGGCTGAATTGGGATTGTATAAGCCGGATGACAAACCTTATAAGGTGTTTTGTGGAGAATTGTTTCCAGCCTGTGGCCCCTTTCAAATGTGCCATAGGGCCCCCATTGAGATTGGCTTTTCTAGAGAATACTCTGAAGGAGCTTTTTAGATGGGTGCTAGAACACGTCCCCAGGCTCAATCCATGGCATCTCCAGGTAGAGCTGGGTCAGAATCCTTCCTGAAACCTTGGAGATCCATGACATACTGGTGTCAACCGTGCAAGACTAGATGGACTCTTGGCCTGCCTCAGGATGAGGCAGCTTCTTGGGTTCCTATCCCCCATGAGGAACCATTTGGCTGAAAGCAGGCCCAGCATTGCCACTTCGCATCCCTGCATGTACATATACCCCTGAAAATGAAAGACAGACCAGCAGCGATTCACATCCTGTTCAGACTGGCCTGAGCAGATCTGTTTCCCCCATAGAGCTTAGAGCATATTACACTTTTCAGTCAGCAGCTACTTAATGGGTAATATTTAGAGGAAGGAAAGAAGGATGGGAGGGAAAAGTGCTTAGAGAATGTGCAACCGATAATTAATGGGAATCATAAAGGCTTCAGAGTTGCAAGGGCCCTTGTAGGTATTCTTGACTATAACAACCCCCAGCTCCATGGAGTAACATGCAACCTTGAGATTGGTTGATTTAAAATTTCTTTATTTTTGAATCATTTATTGGTCTGTTTTAAAATCCAAGCTTTTTGATTGACTAAAATGTTCCCAGTTTATTTGACCAGCAAAGTCCCCCCCCCCAAATATTAACACAAGTAATAAATATTATAGATGCAAACATCCTAATGGCAGAAGCATCGTCTGTTTCCCTCAACTCTTCCAGTGCAGATGCATAGAGTTCTGTAAAAATATCACAAAACATTGTTTTACTCGGGTGCAAATTCAGCTTATTAACCGAGCAGAGATCATAAGAAACCAATTATGTTTTAAAATGTAAATCCGTTGACAACTCTAATTCTCAGAGTGATTGAGATTTTAACTCCACAGACACTCAAGAGTTTTCGCCTGCCTGGATGCCCCAGCGTTCAAATGTTGGATGGGGTCAGTTGACAGCACTATCACAGGAGGACTTGGGGACACAAATTCAGGTTCCTATTCAGCAGAATGAACAAGAGGCCCCATCCCCATGAATCAGAACCTAAAATAATCTAACTGCATCCCTCGGGTGTGCTCTCAGGGCAGTGGAGGCTCATGACTTCACAGAGGTGGTGAGTGTGTTCTGGGTTTTACTCTTAACTTTACAGGAGTTATTCAAGATGCTGACCCCTATTCTCCAAATAGCTTGAGAACCCTGGATAGCTCCTTTAAAATTCAGAGCAAAACCTGGTGCACATCCACCATCCCATGGCATTAGATTCACCAGCCCCCATTGGTTGAGTAGAACCAACGGGGCTCAATAACAGATGTAGAGTATCCAGGGAGTAAGACTAAGGCAAATTTTCTTATAGTGTTATCCTTCCAGGCGTGCATGTCTTTCAGGGATGTCATGCCTGACAGATCAGACATGAAAACAAAGTTGTGGTCAATGAGCAGTGACAGAACAAAAGTAGGATGATTTCCCAAATGCATTTTGAGGCAAGCTCACTATAGAATACACAGACAATCTTTTCTTAATGAAATTCTGCTCCTCTAATTTAGTCCCCAAAGGAAAAGGTACTGGATGTTCCCATGGTGCAATGTTTTTGCTTTGCTTTTTGCCTTTAGCTTGGATGTAAAGGCTAGTGATAGCTCGCTGTGGCAGAAATTTGTTCATTTTGCATTTTAATACAAACTTAGAATCATAGAACCACAGAGTTGGAAGAGACCACAGGGGCCATCGAGACCAACCCCCTGCCATGCAGGAACTCCATCAAAGCACTCATGACACATGGCCCTCCAGCCTCTGCTTAAAAACCTCCAAAGAAGGGGACTCCACCACACTCCAAGGCAGCACATTCCACTGCCTACCAGCTCTGACAGTCAGGAAGTTCTTCCTGATATTCAGGTAGAATCTCTTTTCCTGAAACCATTGCTCCTTGTCCTAGTGTCCTAGTCACGGAAAACAAACCTGTCCCTTCTTCCACACGTCATCTCTTCAAATATTTAAACATGGCCATCATGTCCCCTCTTAACCTTCTTTTTGCAAAGCTAAACATTCCCAGCTCCCTAAGCCGCTCCTTATAGGATATGGCTTCCAGACCTTTGACCATTTTGGTCAGTCTCCTCTGGACACATTCCAGGTTGTCAACATCTTTCTAGAATTGAGGTGGCCAAAACTGGACACAATACTCCAGGTCAGGTCTGACCAAAGCAGAATAGAGTGATACTATCACTTCCCTTGATCAAGACACTGTACTTCTATTGATGCAACCAAGAATCGCATTGGCTTTCCTGGCAGGCGCATCACACTGCTGACTCATGTTCAGTTTGTGGTCTACCAAGACTCCTAGATCCCTTTCACAGGTACTGTTGTCTAGCCAGGTGTCTTCCATCCTATATCTGTG